CAGATTGGGTCAATGGTCTGTAGGCGGTAGGGTGACGCAGGAAATGGTCCTTATTTTGAAACGTTCGTGTAGTCAGCGTGCTTTTACAAGCAATCGTGGCTGGTGAAGGGCCGCCATGAAACGAACAGAGCAGACGATAACATGTTTGATTACATGCAATATGGCAGAAGCTGGACACGAAACACGGGTGTTGAAGTGTAGAGTTCGTTTTAGTCACAGTGCTTTTTCAATCAGTCTCGGTGGGACTCATCAAGGCAGGGGATGACGTTGCAGATCGGGTCAATGGTCTGTAGGCAGTAGGGTGACGCAGGAAGTGGCGCTGATTTTGAGACGCAGGGATTTTTTCGGGTGGACACGTGAAACATTGCACGAAATCGGGGGACCTGTGGGCAGCTACGTCTTTGTGATGCAGGTGTGGAATGGACCGAAGCAAGGCAGTCTAGGAGCGAAGATGTATTTGCTTTTGCTTGTTGCAGGCAGTAACTTGTGCAGTAGTGATGTTTTGAAGCAGTCGAGGTGGGTTTTGCAGAATGCGAGTAGTGTAGAAGCAGAAGACCAGCGATATCGATGCATTGTAGTGGAACAGCATCATGCATGTACCAGAGGGAAAGACAAACACAAGTAGCACTTTTTTTGAGTGAGTGCCGATGAAGGAACTTGTGCTCTTGGAGCCGAGTGGTTGTGTATTTGCCGACGAAGGAACTCGTGCTCTTGGAGCCGAGTGGTTGTGTTTTAGTAGCGAGAAGTCATGGCGACACTGGTGGCGTACAATCACCGGGTAGGCAGTGTGGCTTTGCAAGATCTGTTTCCTGGCTTTGCTTTCTCAGAGCTTCGGACTATCTACGTGAGGTTACGTGAGGGGCCACTAGAGCGGCAAGATGTCGCTATGTCCGTTCGGGTCTGTAGGGTGGATCGCTTCATCGAAACGGTCCGGGAACCACGGCTCGTGAGTGACGGCTACGTTGCTGCAGTGTGTCTGGGTGAAGTTGCTCTTCCGGAAGATGGGCAGGAATGCGCTAGCTTGATTGGGCGGCACGATCAGTTGTTGGCGAAGATAAAGGAAGCAGGGCAGTTCGCTGCAGAGAATCGTGGTCCGGGGATGACTCGGCAGCATGTTCGGAGGCTGGAGGCTGCTGCCAACTATCTTGGTGAGATGAGGGGATTGGAGCCTGGTCTTTTGACTCTGGCAGAAAACCCAGTGTTTAGAATGTCCATAGCAGAATTTTTGGGCACGGAGGAGTCGCCAGCGGAAAGAGCGAACTTGGCAACCTGGATCACCAGTGTGCCTCGAGTGCAGACTGGCTGGATTCCTATGGGCGGCACGCGTGCTTCGCCGCCAAACATGGCGACGCTCCTTCTGGGGCAGTTGCAGAGAAAGCTGCAGCAAACTGTCCGGGAGTCCGAAGATGGTGTTCGAGAGACACCGAGAATTCTATGATGCAGTCGATGAACTCTTGGAATTGGTGCCAGCGGGTCGTTTGGACGTGATCAGCATTGTGCTTGGATGGAGTTTTATTCATCTGCAGAATGTTGTGTATGATGCAACGCAATTGGAACAGCAAAGGCATCTGGATGCGGTCCAGTGTGTGGCCTGTACCACCTCCTTTATGAGCAAAATGGCTGGTAATGGCGGTTGGGAGAGGCGTTTCCGTGGACGTCGCAGGCAGGATGTAAGAAACGAGATAGGGTGGTTGCAAGCAGAGGTGCATCTGTTCTTGTTCTTGTTGTCTGTTGCAGTCGGCCGAATAAGAATTGGAGGTTGGTTTATCTCATGGACGAGTACATGGGCGAGCCCTTTGAGCGCACTGCAATCAACTGCATACCTTTCGATCGCATGCTGTTAGTTGGTGTCTCGGCTTCTGGCCTTATGGGAAGATTGGTATCAGCATGAAACAGATTAGAAATTGAGTAGCAGGGGTGGATGTAAAGCTAATGAGATCGATGTGGGAGAGGGGGGGTTGGCTTAGCGGCCACTAGGTGATGAGCATCAATATCCGCGCTGGAAAGCGGGAGAGCGCAGAGGGGCTTTAGCGCGGCCGCTGCAGCAGCGCGTCAACATGGAGTGGGCGGTGCGCGCCAAAGGGGTACAAAAGTTGCGCAGTTTGGAAACGTGGCGAACAGGGCAGTTTTCGGTGAAGAGGCGGGCAAAAAGGGTGGCTCGTCTGGAAAATGACTCGAGGTATGTGTTCTGAATTAGTGTTTTTTTGTTCGGTCGTTGTGGTAGGTGGCTGAGTGCCAATCCAGTGCAACCCATCGAACCTTTGTGGTGCCAATGCTTTTGTTCCGCTTGAGCAATTGGACGGTGGATGGTCAGAATCAGAACATCCATTGTAAGCAAGTGTGGGTGGCAGTGGCGATGGTGGTGGCTGTGGAAATTTTGGCCGCTGCTAAGAAGGGAGTGTCGCCTAGCATTGGCATTGGTGGCTTTTTGCTGGCTCCATTGAATGCATTGGAGGCATTTTTGAAAAGAAAGCTGCAGATCTTCGTGGGAGCATTTGCGCCGTGGTTTGGTATTGTTGGTGAGCGCCGTGATGCGCTGTTAGCTTCAGATTTGATGCAAGGCGGGGTTGAGAAGATAAAAGAACATCGATTTAAAGGGCTGTGTAAGGAGTTTAGTGTCTGATGACTTTCAGTATTTGAATGTTATGTCGGGCGAAAGTGTTTTTCGAGCTTCGGGAAGTTTCGCGAAAGATCAGTTGGGGGCGGGCAGGCGTGTCCATGCGAGGGCCCTTTGCTGCAGCTGGCTTCGAAGCGGAAACCTACATTGTGTTGGGTGCCAGGATTGGGGGTTGTGAAATCGAGTGAGGAGCGTTGAAGCAGTGAGAAAGAGAATTATGAAATATATGACGGGTATCAAGGAACCGTAGCTACATTAGGGGTCCTGCTACAATGAAATTTCTTCAGCATGGAATTTTCGTTCTGGCAATCAAGAAAACAGAGTGGACGAATTGGTATTTCATGTTATTTTCCCCATCAAGATTTGCGCGAGTCCACTGGTTAAAGTGTCATGGAACGTGATGCAACGTGATGCAGGTGCTTCGAAATGTGCTGGGAAAAAGGGCTCGTGACCGGAGGAATGCCATGTTTCACCCTGTAGATGTGACGCCGCTGTGAGTCGGTGCGAGCAGAGCACAGTGCTCGGTGCAACGCACAAATGAAGCCTTTGGTTTTGATTCGGAGCAACAGGTCATGTTTTGCGTGTGCGAAAGGTCGACGCTGTGTCTGTTGGATTGTAGATGGTTTGATCCCGTTGAATACCGCCCAAGCTCCCCTGGGCGGAGCTCGATTGTGCTACCTGACAAAACGCGCAGCTATACCTACCTGAAGCTATCATGGGGGCAAATGGG